GGGACCAAAACACAACTTATTGAGTCAGTAGGAAGGAAAACCCTGTGAGTAAATGTGTGTGTTTGTGTGTGAATATCCGTCTGAATGTGTAGGTGTGCAGCCACCTGTTAGTGAGCGTCCATGTGGACACAAACAAAAGGAAAAGAGAGAAGAGACAGTCTGTGGACACAGCCAGAGACTTTAACACAAAAATATAGTTCTATAAGGAATTAAATAATCAGTAATCTACATAGGTCATGTGATAGCATACTATGCTAAAGTGAGTCATTATAGCTAAATTCTAACACGTGTTTGGTACAGTGGACGGAGGTCGTCTCTTAGCTTTTCCCAACAACAGCAAAACAGATAAAACCAAAGGAAAATGTCGTGTCATTAACTGAGAAGCTTTACTTTGGTTTATGCATTTAGCATTTACGCATTTTAGCATCAATGGATGTAATGCAACAGAGAAAGAAAAAGAAAGAAAAGAGACTTTAACACAAAAATATAGTTCTATAAGGGAATAAAACAATCAGTAATTTACATAGATCATGTGATAGCATACAATGCTAAAGTGAGTAATAATAGCTAAATTCTAACACGTGTTTAGCACAGTGGACGGAGATCGTCTTATAGCTTCTCAGAACAGATAAAAACCAAAGGAAAATGTCGTGTTATTAACTGAGAAGTTGTCAGAAGTTTTAGTTTAGTCTATGCATTTAGCATTTATGCATGTTAGCATTAATGGATGTAATGCAACAGAGAAAGAAAAAGAAAGAAAAGAGACTTCAACACAAAAATATAGTTCTATAAGGAAATAAAACAATCAGTCATTGACATAGATCATGTGATAGCATGCTATGCTAACGTGAGTCATTATAACCAAATTCTAATGCTTTCTTTTCCCATCCTGGAGGGTTGGGATGCCAGCAGGTTTTTTTCCACCTTTGTTTATCTGCCTAATCACGTCATGGAGCCACCTGAAGATAACGCCAACTTCCTCCTAACCGTACAGCGCACAAACGGAAACGGGCTCAGAGAAATCCCCACTGAGGGCTTTCCAGTCCTCCCTCACACGAGCTACTTCCTCATTCTGAGCTCTGTGAAGCAGGACACGGCTCAGTATCGATGCTCCTTCCCTAAAGGAACCAGATCTTTTCACCACACAACGCTTTAACTTCTCTTTTTTCCTCAGGATTCAACAGTTATTCTATTTTCTAATCCATGGCTGCTGAATATTGCTTCAGATTGGAGTTTATCATCCTCCAATCAGTTATCCTTTTAACCCTTTAAAGCCCGATCCAAGAATAAGACAAAACAGAAAATTACTTTTTTCGGGGTTTGAATTCCTTATTTGGCCTTTTAACAAAATATGTAAAAATAAAAAACAAAAATAAAATGTTAATATTAATAATTTATTACTATGCGATGAGTCAAGATTATTTTTTGTGTAGTCTTCTGCCCCCTGTTATCAGGTGTATCTGATTGTGTACAATAGGATTTTGAGCAAAGTTTTTACCATTAAATTATGCAAAACGTGTCAGATGCAAAACATTTCAGAAACCGTATGAATCAAATATGATACGTTTGGCATTACAGGGTTAAATTATTACCACAGTAAAAAGGGCTCAATCAGAATAATAAAGAAGGTCAAAAGCTCTGATTAGTAAGAAGTTTCTGACCTATTTGTTTGTTTGTTTGTCCAAATAAGGAGTTAGCATGCTAAGCTAACGCGAGTTAAGGCTAAATGGAGGGTCACCTTTACAGAGAAACGAGGCTTTTGCTCACCAAAGAGTTCAAAAACAGCATCTGGTTTATTTTTGAGGGCTCCTCCTGCAGGTGTTTCATTTATTGGTTTCTGTCGGTGTAATTCAGGGGTTTCGCAGCAGTTTCCATCCCAGAGCTTCAGTTTGT